ACAACTTTATGTTTGTTGAACCACCAAAATTAAAACAGAGAGTTTTTCCTCCCTGTTTCTTACACCAGTGGAAAGGGGAGAGGATAAACATCCATATAGTGACAACAGCTCCCAAACTGCAATGACAGTCTTCATCTCTGCTTAATTCCTTGCCCGTGAAATAAAATGAACCATAACAAATACCCATTGTTTGATCTTTATTTCTAGAGAGATGTATTTCTCTCAAAGGAAAGCCTTTTGTAATCCAGAGAGAGTGCTCTGGAGATGAGAGTGATCAACTGGCAGTGACAGTGAGCTGTGAGCCTCATAGCTAAGACCGATAATTCATGTTATGTTTTCAGTTTCAGGCCTTTGCCTCCCACTCACATCCCAATCAGCACCAAAACAGTTGTTCTGTTTAGTCAAAGAGCTTCCAAACCATTAAATAGCACTTTTTATTCTTTCCTTTTAAACTTATCTTTAAAGAACAGTTCTCAACAGCCTGTAGCATTAAAATAAAGCACCACCACTTGTAAGCATTTATATACAACTTTGTTTCCCAGAGAGTTGCCTAGGAGTATCTTGCCATCTGCTGGAAATGTGCAGATACACATCCTTTAATACATACAGGCTTCAAAGTTACTGTCAAAGACAACTGTAGCATGAAAAATGAAGGAGGCATTAAGTTTGGAAGCCAATACTCTGCATGTTTAGAACTTTTACTTCAGTAAAGAGGTAACACCAGACTACTGGGCTGCAGCAGTTGAAATACGAACATTAGCTTCCTCGGCACATCAGTATTCTCTCTCCACTGCCGCTCTAAATCTGTGGCACAACTGGATGCTGAGGTTGAATGCAGTATTACCTGTGTGAACCCAGATAATCATCATGGCCATATCTGCATAAAACAGGAGTAGCTCTACTGTGGAGGAGGTGATGGGGTAACAATGCAAGCTAACATAGAACATTTCACTAAGAACTCTGCAAATGAAGCATGTCCTCCTTAAGGTAACTTCCACTAGACTGCAGTAGCTCCTGGTCAGTATGGGCTGCTATTGATCCTGGTTGCTAATTAGCCACAGTGATTTTGGAAAAAAAACAAAATAGGAAAGAAAATCTATATGGTTGTTTCCAACAGGAGGGAGCTCTTCTTTCTTATAGAACCCCCTTACAAATACTGGTAAGAAAATAACTATTATCCCCCCACTTAAGAAAAATTCTTTTAGTTCATGTGACAGAGATTTGTGATTTGCCAAAGCTCATCATATAAAGAAAGGAATGCAAGAACGGGAAACTCGCTTTTTGTTGTGCTGGATGTGGTAGGACTTATTTCAAAACAGAACTGAAATACTTGAGGAAAATCTTTTTTTGAAGCCTTCTTTCTCAAACAGATCAGTTCACAATCTCCTCTTCAGAGTAAAAGATCTGATATCAGGAGATGACAATAATGCAAAAAAGAATTAAAAGTTTAGATGCAAAAAATACCCACTTTAAACCTGGAGTAAAATAAATTACATGTATGAGCTGTCAAATGTAGGTGTAGTAGACAGCAATATCTCACCTTTTCATTAAGCTGAGGGTGTTTCAATAGGAGATAAAAGTGCAATACTCTGCCATCTGGGGGAAAAAAAAAAGGAAGAAAAAAAGCTCAGGAATAACTCAGGATTTACAGCCCTAGGACAACATAAGTCAATTGCATTTCAAAAACAATATGCCAGAAGCAATGATCATACAATATGTTGCATTTTCAAGCCAGCTGCAACCTTGTCAGCTAATGCACCGAGCAAAGCTGACATCCTCTCCAAAAAATGCCATCTGCTCAGAAGTAGGAGGCATCTACTAAGAAACTGAAGTGTTTAAACAGTGCTGTAATATAAGAAAATACAAACTAACTCAAAGTAAGTCTTCTAAAATAACAGCATTAGTACTAAGTGATCAGCTACACAATCTCTCTGCAAGATGTAAAAATACTATTGTTGAGATTTTTCTAAAAGCACTGAAAATGTACCAAATCTTTTTGCCTTCAGTAGGTTGGCTAGGAAAAAATAGCAACAGTAAACCACACAACACCCCAAATCGCAGTTCTGAAGAACTGCACTATCTTTTATCTTCCAATTCTACAACTCAAGAAGCTGAAGCCATCTGACTGATGTGACAGGACATCAAAGCCCAGCTTGCCCTGAAAGAATTATGTTCATAGACGTACATTACATAATGTTCTCCATTTTAAGCAGAGGAAATTTGGAACAGATGAAGATTTAAGGGCCCTTTTTGAAATCATACTGACAGCTCTCACTAAGATAAAATTAACAGTGTATAAACAATTCAGATTAAAGACTGATAAATGAAACCATTTGGTGCATTCCCTTGGTGTCAGAGAAAACATCTAGACTAACAGGAATAAGTTTTGCTACTTTACTTACACTAGAGTTAACTATTATTTATTTGTATTTTGACACATTGTAGAAACACCAAAGGAAAGTTCAGAGCTATGTTGGTGCAAACTCACGAACACCACCCCCCCAAACAGCCATAAAGATCTTGTGGAAGTGCTAAATGGTGCCTAAGAAGAGTTTGATGTAGGTGTACAAAGGTCGCAGCAGGAGACCAAGGATTGGTACGTTTTTCTGCCATTTTCAACATACAGGTTATGAATGCTCTATTCCAAAACTATATTACAGTTTGGACAGCTCGGTTTGGTTTATTTTTCAAGTTCAGTGGGTTACTGTTGCCCAATGTGGATATAAATAGCTTACCAACAGCCCCAAAGCAAATCTTTTGCCAGGATAGTTTATTTGCTTGGAAAATCGTTTTAAGACACACCAAGAAACCAGCTGTTTGGCCAGTACAAGCATCATTTTTGCTAGAGGACTCTCTGTGTTAACTATCCCATGCTTCAGCTGAAAAGCAGGCAGAACTATGACCTCCTCTACACAGGAGAGGCTTTGCCCTGGTCACAGCTTACTCAGAGATTGAAATCGAAGATCAAAGTATCATTAGGAGACAGAACAACTCAACTTTACAGAGCTAAAGGCATTAACCATTTCACAGACTACTCTCATGAAATGGTGGTTAAATCATACACACCAATACAAAACGATCTGTTGTTTTTCCTCCTTCCCCTCTGGTCTGACCGCTCGGACGTCCAATACTGTTTATTTTTGTTATTTTATTTCCCCTAACAGTTCTGAATGAATCCTCTCCAGGCTGGGAGCTGCGCTTACACTCATGGAAGATCACTCGCCTGCGGAAGCGGGTTTTCCCAGGGAGCTTTGGGTGAGGCAGCTGGGTAGCTGGCTCAGAGTGTGCGGTGGCAGGGCACCCCTTGGAGGGCAGCGGGGAGAAGGGGCTTTTCGTTGTTACCGGATTTTTTAGAGTGAGAACGAGAGCTGAGCCCGCGGAGTACCTCAGAAAGGCCGCCTTCCCTCAGCACTCCCTGCCGGGGGCCGCCACTTCTGCCCCTCGCCTCAGCACCGCCCCAGCCCTGAGGCGGCCCCACGGTTCCCAGGCCAGCTCCCTTCTCCTCCCGCTGGGGCCCGCGCCTGCAGCAGGCCAGACAGCTCGGTACCTCAGAATGTTCCGGGGCTAGGGGAGGCCCGAACCCCCGTCCCCACAGAGCGGTAACGGCGGCACCCGCCTCTCCCAGGCTCGGGCCCTCTTTCCGCCGCAGCGATACCGTGTCTCGGGCACGGCGAGGTCCGGGAGCGCACCAGCGGCAGCCCCGCGAACACGGGAAGAAAAGCGGATGGGGAGGCCTGAGGCGACCGCGACCACAGCCCCTCGCTTCAGCTGCCACCCTCATGGGAGCCCCATACCTGCCGCTGACTTCTCCGATTGGCTGCAGGTGTTTCTCTACTACTTCCTCAAACGCTTTTAATTGGCTGAGATACTTCTACTCCACAGGTAAAAGTTCCCTGCCTATGATTGGTAGTGAGTGGGAGGGATCTTTTGGGGGATTGGCTCCAGGTGTGTTGGAGCTTGCTATTGGCTGACAGGTAGTGTAAGAGTGGTTCTATTGGCTGTGGGCGCTAACCTTCTTAGTCCGCCATGTTCGGCGTGGTGGCGCCGTTGCTAGGAGTACCGGATTGAGCGAGGCGTTGAAGCGGGCGGTGGCTGAGGGGGAACCGGCTGAGGGGGCTCCAGTGGCTTCGCCCACGTTACCGCTCTCGTTGCCGCACGCCGCCGCTGTTCTACCGCGGGGACCCACGGGCGAGCAGCCAAAGTCCGTTCCTAAACTTCTTCGCGGGACTTTGAGCAACTTCAGACCGCGGAAGGTGGAGCCCGGTACCGCTGAGGTGCGGCCCCGGGCCCGGGCTGTGGCGTGGTACCTCTCTCGGCCAGAGCAGGTAAGGAGGAGCAGCCCTGGAGGCCTTGTAGGCTTGAAACGGTTTCCCCGCGTTGTGTTCAGTCCCTGTCGCCGCCAGGCTCGGGCTCGGCGGGCGCTGAGGGGACCCCGGTGTCGGGCGGGGGGGACTGGCGGGTTCCTTCGAATCTGCGGGAAAGGAGAGGGCTGGGAGCAGAACTCTGTAGTCTCCTGTGTGTGTGCTATGAGTATATGGGAAGGTGGAGGTAATTCTCAATAAACAGGGCGTTTGTCGGTTTTCAGTCATAAAAGCAATTTAAATTGTCCCTTGGAGTTCTGATTTTCTTGAGTGAATTTGTAACCAACATCAATTGATAGCAGTCTTCCATTTATATAAGAACTATTGTTCATTAGCATACTCTACTCTTTGAAAGAAAAAAAGCAAGAAGCTGTGTTGATGAATAAGTAAAGATTTCTTCAGGGTGTTTTTAGCCAAGAGGGAACTGCTGGGTTTTTTATTAAAAAAACATCTTTGAATGCTTGGGCTATTTCTGTAAAACTGAATTGTACAGAATATTTTTAACTAATTTAATTTCTGTGCAGGTCAATGGTCTTGTATGTTTCTCTTTCAGTTTCTCACTGTTCCATGTGGAGCTATTTGTGTTTATAAAATTTGACAACTCATTTGTTCAGTAGTGTCTGTATATTCATCTCTTCTGGTTTTCTTTCTGTGCAGATGGATTGAAAATCATCTGGAGAAGAAGCACACATTTTACATGTGAAACTGTTCGCTTCAGAATTAAATGGATTATATGTCTTGAGTGAACGCGTTTCTGTATAATTTCATTTAGACCACTAAATACAGACCATGCCTAGCAGAATGGGTTCAAAAATGGATTTGAACAAAGACTTCATCAGAGTGAAAACACACTATAGCGGGTAAGTCATCATGCTCTCTTCTCTATATTGTGTCCTGTCTAATTCTGAAGCATGAAGTTTGTAGTCTGATCTAGTGATACAGTAACCAGGGCATTTGTGGTTTGTCATATCAGCTGGGTAAACTTCTGGGCTAATAAAATACCATGCAGACTCCTGCAGCATGCTGACTGTGGAAGAGAGTTGGTTATTCTTCTGTCAAAGGTGGGGATAAAATGTGCGAAGCTGACATATTGTTATTCTGGGTTGATGGATTATTGATTTCTGTTTCATGACCACAGGCACGTATAGACCCATTTCTTGCATTTAGATACAGTTACTATATTTTTGTCATATCTTCTTTATTATAAACATATGCTAAATCTTAAAAGTCACTGCCAAAATTAGCAGGAGACAATCAAGTATAGGTTTCCACTCAGAGTTGTCAGTTTGACTGTACTCCTTGGGATGAAATGTGATGTTTAGTATGAGTCCTTTTCTAGTGGGCATTTTTTATATTATTTTAACTTGCAGCAGTTTCTGTCTTGGAAAATTAGGTTTGTTTCTTTGTGGAGAGATATGTAAGTCTTGACAGAATAAGTGGGTGCCATTGGTTTTGTCCTTTTTTGTTTGTCTTGGAGATATTTTAGAAAGAGTTATTATTGGCATTACTTAGTTAAAAAAGAGGAATAAGGGAATTTTGCTTAGATCACAAGTAAACTGCCTTATGAACTCTGTCTGAAAGTCTCGTACCATACATTTGGCATTACTAATAATTTTCTGTTCTGTAGTTTTACCCTACACCTCTGAATCATGTCATACAGTTGAAAAGAACATCTGAATTTTAAATACTCAAGTGATGCATGCTTCTCTGAAACAGCATTAGGGGCTGAGCCCTGTAAGGGAAGGTGCTGTAAACACAAGTAGAACTTTGTGTAAACGATTTGGGATAGCTTGCTGGCAGGTAGTATTGCTCTAAAGTGAAAAGAGTAGGTCCCAGCCCAGAAAGCCAACTGTATATTGTGCTGCATCAAAGGAATGTGACTAGCAAGTCAAAGGAGGTGATCCTGCCCTCTGCTCTTGTGAGACCCCACTTGCAGCACTGTGTGCAGTTCTGGTGTCTTCAACATAGAAGGACATGGAGCTGTTGGAGCAAGTCCAGAGGAGGCCATGAGGATGGAAGGGGGCTGAAGCACCTCCTGTATGAAGGCAGGCTGAGAAAGTCGGGGCAGGTTCTCAGCCTGGAGAAGAGAAGCTATGCAGAGACTTCAGAGCAGCTTCCAATATCTGAAGGGTGCCTACAAGAATGCTGGACAAGGAACGCTTCATCAGGGACTGAAGTTAAAGGGACAAGGGGTAATGGGTTCAAACGGAAACAAGAGAAATTCAGTTTAGATATAAGGAAGAAGTTTTTTACTCTCAGCGTGGTGAGGTGCTGGCACAGGCTGTCCAAAGAAGTGGTAAATGTTCCATCCCTGGCAGTGTTCAAAGCTGGGTTGGACAGAGCCTTGGGCAACATGGTCTAGTGTGAGGTGTCCCTGCCCATGTCAGGGGGGGTTAGAACCAGGTGACCTTAAGGTCCTTTCCAGGTCAAACCATTCTATCATTTTGTAGAACTTTTCTGTGCAGAAATGAAGTAGGTGATAATACTTGTGTCACTTAGAATTCATGTGCAATTATTATAATGTTCTACAATAAACTACTCCTGTAGTTTCTCCTCCAACACTATGTTTAGTAATTTCCATTAGCTGTGAAATCTGTAATATGGCAATTTACAAAAAAAGTTTCAACTCATTGAATTTTGGGTTTTGTTCTACTGATGGAATTCTGTGAGTAAGAACTGATTATTTTTGGTATTATAGCCTGTATAACAAATTATCTTAATATCTCCATTAAATTACTATACTCATCTCTTGAACAAATTTGACAAACTGCAGGAAATCATTGATGCTTGACAACTTCAGAATTAAGAACAAGCTCATTCAGGTAGCTGCTACAATATACGATTTTGAAATCCTGGTTAAGAATTTAAGCATGAGGAAATTCTAAACCATGTGAATGTTGAATCTATATGGAGTCCTAGTATCTTAGGTATTTGTTTTCCTGGGTGTGACAGAGTTCCTAACATAGCATAGTATAAATAACTGCCTAAGTAGATTGCAAAAGAAAGTAAACTTGTGTAATTCTCATTTCATTATTTCAGTTTAGTTTATCTGATTTATACCTGGTTACTTGAAATCACTGTGTTTAAATAGAGTAGTGATGCAGTATGGTTTGCTCTGTTACTTTGGTTCTAAATGGTGACACATTTAATCAGTTTCACAATATTAATCTCCTGCTTTAACTGCTTGTCCATAACTTGATGGTCATTAGCTCTTCAAATTACTCTGTAGAATCTAGTTTCAGATACCTGACAAAAAAAAGTGTCCTGTGAGATTCTGTAGTGTTAAATAACAAATGATTTTGATTTATCTGTGCCGCGATTGCCTAGTGTGACTATACAGGCATTAAGGTTAAACACAGTGTATCTCAAAGGCACATGGACATCATGGAGATAACAGTTTCAATAAATATAATTGGTGTTTGCATTTGCAAAAGCGGGTTGTTATTTGTAGTGTGCATAGTAGAATATTGTCTTACTGCATATCTTTAGTGTTTGAGTAGTATTTATGTACTTGAGAAAGCATGATTGTCCAGAGCTACCACAGAGCTATAGCTGCTTGGTTTTGTGACTAGTTTGAGGTGGCAGTGTATGAATTAATGAGCTGCATTTGTTAGTGGCCTTCTCTTGTCATGAGGCATTGCACCAGGTCTCCAACACTACTTTGGGAACTGGTTTGATCTCTTACTTTTATAAGTGCTTAAAATATGACTCTCTTGATGGGGATATAGTCTTAAGCTTAACCTCAGCTGGCGGCTCTCACTATTGTACAATAATGCAGATATACAAGTTGGCAGTTAGCATACTAATTTCTTTTTCCATTATTATGCAGAATTAAGTTACTGTTCTTTGAGAAGTTTACAAATTGTAGATTAAAGATATACTTGAAAAGGTAGAAGTGCTTTTAATCTGAATTTTAACCTCAGTATAGTTCTTAAATGATTGTGTTAGAGCTTTGTTTCTTATAATTTTTCTCAGCAAAGACAAAATGCAAAGTTTTTGTGCGTATCATTTAAAATGTGAGCTGTAGAGCCAAAGATCCTCAGTTCAGTGTAGCACCTTTAGGCTTCGGGTTGAAAAATGTAAGTAGGTAAAGTATGTAATATAGCTCATATTCTAAAATGACTTGTCACACAGTATGAAAATGCAAAAATTATCTGTCTTGCTGGGGAACTTCTGAGATACTTCTGTATTAAACTAAAGGGAAGAATTACATATGCCAGTAGCTATTAACTACAAAACTGTTTCCTAATTATCCCCTAGAAGGTTTTGAAAGCACTGAGATAGAATCATAGAATGGTTTGGGTTGGAAAGGACTTTAAGATCATCCAGTTCCACCCCTCCCTGGCATGGACAGGAACACCTTGCAGTAGATCATGTTGCCCAAGGCTCTGTCCAACCTGGCCTTCAACACTGCCAGGGATGGAGCATTTATCACTTCTTTGGACACCTGTGCCAGCACCTCACCACCCTCACAGTAAAAAACTTCTTCCTTGTATCTAAACTGAATTTCCCTTGTTTCCGTTTGAACCCATTACCCCTTGTCCCTTTGCTTCAGTCCCTGATGAAGAGTTCCTTGTCCAGCATTCTTGTAGGCACCCTTCAGATACTGGAAGCTGCTCTGAGGTCTCTGCATAGCTTCTCCAGGCTGAGAACCTGCCTCAACTTTCTCAGCCTGTCTTTGTAAGGGAGATAACTTAAGTACATGTCCTCTTTCTTCCAGCAGTTATTTAATCAGTGTCCTTGAGTCTGCCATTTGAAAAATATTTAGAAAATAGGAGAAGGTCTAGTTTTTATTCTCAGGTTTTGTTTTGCAAAATTTTTTTTTTTTTTTTTAATCTTTCTCCTGCTTTGACAGTACTGTGTGGCATTTCATACGAGGAATGCTAGTTCTGTAGCATGATTTTGCAGCCTGGCATCCATAGGTGGAATTACTGGAATATGCAGGCTAATGCAGATATTTTCTGATAAAAGCTTATGTTTTCATCTTGTGCAGGGACATCCTGATAACAAACTTGGATGTATCAATGAGCTATGATGAGCTTTGTGATGAAGTACATGAGATGTGTAATTTACAGCAGGAGCAGCCAATTACCCTCAAGTGGATTGATGATGAAGGTATTGTATTGAAATACTACTTAAGTATTCTTGAGTTTATTGTTCATTGTGGTACTAAGAAGGGGCATTGAGGAAACTTGTATAAACAAGTTTCATATTATGGAGTTAATTTTCAATTCTAAATACCAGTGTATGTCTTACAAAGCAGGGAGTTTGGAGAAATGAGCATCAAAACATGGATGATGACAGGAGCACTTGAATTCACTTCTGTAGAAGTAAAGGCTACATAAAACTTTAATATTCTACTATTCCATACTTCTGGACTGAGCACAGAGTTTTCATTTCAGATTTTCATCACCTAATGCTATACCTCTCAAAATTCCTAATTTCAAATTCTGGGCCGCAACACTTTGATTTTTACCCTGTCAGCATTTGCCTTAAAAAGAATAAAAAAAAAAGAATAAAAATAAAATTAATCTTTACTTGGTGCTGATGAGTCACGTTTGGTGGGCAGGGTATGCTGCAGGAAGGGTGGGTGTTCCACAAAGCTGCTGAGATCTAGAGTGACCCCCTTGCTTATTTGCTTGCTTTCTGTGTATTGTGACGTACAGCAGTTTACATGTGTCTGCTTAAGTGGATTTGTGGATTAATTACCTAATTTTAACCAAAATAACCCTTGCAAGGTAACACTAATAATGTGAGCACAGGCAGACAACAGGAAAATCGTGGAGCTGACATTTCTCCTTCCTACTTGGAAGCATGAACTGTCAGCCACAGGACAGGTGGAAAGCAATGGCCATCTGATTAGACGTGGCAAGAAGTCAATCAAGAACATTCAGAATTATCAAGAAAAGTATTTGAAATACATATTTACATCCACTATTTTAATGATGAACTTCACCCTAAGTGTGTGTTGAGATAATAGGTAATGCAAGAGCAGCTGATTGATATCAGTGAAGGTGAAAATTTGCTTACTGAATGCCAACAAAGTCTTTGCATAAATGGTGGTTGGGATTGAATAATGAGTATTAGGATCTGGTAAGCACAGCCAACAATGCACTTCTTCCTTTCAGGTCTGTGTATCTTTATGGTATCTTTCTTTTCTTTAGCTATGACACCATTAAAATTGAAATAAACTGAGCTTAGAACTAGACATTTGACTCATTATATCAAAATGTTAAACCTAGATTGTCAAAAGTTATGAAGCAAGTTTAATCACATAGCTCTTTAAAATATTTTTGTATTTAATATTTTGAGGTACATCTTTGTGCCATTGAAAAATAATTTTTAATATTAATTCCTTTAAAGATTTCTGTGTTTGTGTATTTTTTTGTAATGCACATAATTTGCATCGTAAGGATTTGTGCTCTGAAAATTTAATGATGGGGTGTGCTTTCAAAAAAGTTTGGAGACTGCTGATCTATCATAGGCTGTTAAAACAGTATTTGTGCCTACCAGAGAGGTATTATCTTCCAGTTCAGATGTCCTCACTTAAACTGATAATAATTTATATCTTGAAAAGGTCATCTTCTGACATACAGGATTTGGTAATATGTGATTTAAGAGTAATTATATCTCTATATAAGTGTTGGCATATTTGTGTCCCATGCATAACTTTCACCTGTATCTTATTTTTTTGATACTTCCTAATTGTAGGGTGCTTTCTGTCAGTCTGGCACGTGGGTCAACTAGAATCTGTGTGTTCACTTTCCTGTTTTGTTGGCCCCTTGCAAATCAACACAGTGTATTTCTAGCTACACAGTTTCCATAAAAGTAGAAGGGGGAAAAAAACCCCAGTGTTGCTATGTTTTGGCTTTGATCAAAATACCAGCTTTATATCAAATGATTGCTAGAAGAGCAATCCTGGAGCCTGGTGTGTTTCTTACTAACTGAAATCGTCTACTTAATTCTTCAGTTGTAAGTTTGCGTGCGTTGCTTTTTTTTTTTTTTTTTTCAGGTGACCCATGTACCATCTCCTCTCAGATGGAACTAGAAGAAGCATTCCGTTTATATTGTCAGAACAGAGATGAAGGGCTGATTATTCATGGCAAGTATTGCACAGTTCAGGAACCTGTGTGCATTTGTTGGTAATTATAAATGCTTCTTCAATATGACATTGGACAACTCTTTTGCCTGTTGAATACATTGTTAATGTAGCTGGTGCACTGGAATTTAATGTTGTGAGAAGACAGTGTTCTTTTGGGGATGGAGCCCAAGCTGAAACTCTTCAGTAGACTTTGAGGCAGGCTGGGGTTCTAAACTGCACAGGTTTGGTAATGCTGTAGTCAAGCACAAGATCTTGCCAGTATGGAGCCAAATTTTGGTTATGTTATTTCTCATGCAGAATTGTTTGAAGGTTTCCAGAAACTGTCTTTGTGTAAATATATTTAAGAATCAAGGAAGACTTATTACTGAGAATACATTAATTTAAAAATCTATTTTTTTTTGTTTCAGTTTTCCCAAGTATTCCAGAGAAACCTGGCATGCCTTGTCCCGGAGAAGACAGTGAGTACTAAAATGTTGCTAAGTTTTAGTTTAATATTTTTCAGACGTACAAAGAAATGTATTCAAAGGTTTTTGTAATTTACTGTTACATCTTTTTTGTGATTTCTTAATGGAATGTAAAATGTTTGTTTTCTCAACATTCTAGTGCTGGTTTAATGTTTCTGAGGATTAATACGGGTTTCCAGTAGCTGCTATATTGGGAGGAGAAACATCAGGAATTTAGATCCACATTTGAATGTGGTCCTTTTCTTTTGTGCTGCTTTTGATTTCTTGCAGGGAAAATAAATGTGTATTGAGAGGAGAGATACAGCCTTTTCTATGAAAAGGTTATTACTCTCTAAAAAAAATCCTGTGAAAAGTAGATGAATATCCAGAGGAAGGGTACATGATTGATATGAATCCCATTTTGGTGACGATGTTTTGGGATGCTTGGGTAGTTCAGTGTCTTGTGTGCTTTTGACTTTTATGAGAATTACTGTGCTGAATTTAGGGATTAGCTAGCCTTAGAACGCTTGTCATGCTCTTCCAGGGCAGATTTTGATACCAAAGCTCAGTGGAAGTGTTAATACTCCCATCATAAGTCTTCAGGCTGTTTTCTGTGAAACAGCTGTCTTGCAGAGAATTTATTTCAGTGTCTAACTTTGGGGTGCCCCTGCTCCTTAATTCTGCTGTTAAGAATGGGGCAACTAAGTCTGCCATCACTGTAATATTTGGGGCTGTTCCACAACATGCCAAAACCTATTCTGTTTTCTTCTAATTTGTTGGCTGAAGACTGTAGAGAGTGAGCTCATCTGGGCTCTGTTTTCCTAGTCAAAGAACTTGGAAGAACCATCTGCTTCTGTCTTTGCTTCTATTCGTGTAGCTGGTTAAAGGGGGAAGGAGGAAATGCTTGTGTTGTACAAACCTAGACTGGTGCTAGTCCCAAGTAGACTTATTTGTGACAACACAGAACAAACTAATGTGAAATACTGTCAAGAAATGCAGGCTAAGTGGAGGAGAGGTAAAACTGTTGCTCAAAAGGGTATCTGTGCAAGTAATGTGGCATAATAAAGTTCACTGCAATTTAATGATCTCATTAAAAGTGTAGATGTTTTAGTACAAAAGTTTGTTAATTTGTTGGCATGTTAATTATTTAAAGCCACAAGATGAACTACAGATCCACATAGACTACTGTGGCTCAGGTGACCTGGTTTTTCTGTCTGTGGGGTATTTCTCCTTGTGTGGTTTTACAGGTCATGTTGAATCATACTTTGGTGGCTTAAAAAGCCTGTTTTGTAGAATGTGCTTGGTGAATGATTTGTGGTCAGGTTTCTTATAATTTAATGAATAAATTCAGTGCACATTGCTGCTGCATTCAAGGGGCCTGCATGGAAATCTGGGGGTGTGGCCTAGTTGTAACTATTTTCAAATTGGTTTACAACAGGCCTATTAAATTGTATTGATGCTAATTTAGCATAAACTGATGCATGCAGTGGTATTGCTTGTTAGTTAGAGGCGTACACCAAACATCTGCATTGCTTTCAGGCGGTGTGGAAATGTTATTGAGATTGGTGATACAGTTCATTTAAAACATTATTTATTTTGACAGGACTAAAATACTGTCATTTGTTCAGAAAATATTTGGTATGTTTCAAATTATTTATTTATTTTATGAGTCTTTATCACCATAGTTAAGTTCATAGAAAATCCTCTTAAAAAATTAGAATGTTCCATATGTTCCTTTCTACAGCATCGTGTTTACGTGTAAAGGAGCTGATGAGTTTGTCTTGGGTAATTTCCAGACACAGATATGCAATTAACTAGTTGCTCTGCCCAAAATGGCCTTCTACTTAAATTAGCAGTCTCGAAGTGTGTACTTCTGGTTTGTAATGGAGCTGCAGCCAGTTTGAAATCGTATTTTTCAACAATGGTATTCAATTGCTAAGCAATTTTGCTTGCAATATATCACTTGTACTTATGAGGTCGTGGAGTGATTATTTCAAGTAGTATGTGATCTTCTGAGCTGCAAATATATTTTGTGGCGAACTTCTGTAGAATTGTGGGGTTTTCTTTCCAGTGCCTTCAGAACAACAATGCTTTGGAAGCAGAGTACAGAAATACATACAGACTGTTCCACATCCATGTTGAAATCTAATACAGTTGCTAGCTGGCCTGTGCTTTTGTGAAGTGGATGTGGGTTTGAGATTGTACCAGCCAGCAAAACTTGAAATAAATGCATGTAATCTGTTAATGGAATAAATCCATGTGACTAATATTGCAATTCTATTTGAATGTTTTAAGAAAAGTTCTTTTTGTGCTTGAAGGAATCATATCGATGCTGTCTGCAAGATTGAATTTGGAGTCTCCATTATATGAATCCATGTTGTCTCTGTGTTCTTTTGCTTCTGAATTTCGGCACCTTTTTCTTTTATTTTTTATTTTTTCATGCCAGACCTAGCTCCCAGTCTAAAGGTATGGTGTCTGTTGTAGAAACAGTACCTTTTCCCTTCAGCCAGCCGCTTAATCCATCCCTGCAGGCGCAAGTGGCAGTGGATGAGGTGACAGGATTTCTTAACTATCTTGCATATCTCCCCAGACACTGAATGTGACCTCTCCTGGGTATTCTAGCATCTGCTGAACTGGAGGTGGTAGTTGATCACAGCACGTCCTGATAAAGATGGCAGAGTTCTAGGCCAGTCTTTTGTGTTTAAAAATATTTTAACTTTTTTAGTAGATTAGCTATTCTTTTGGGGTTGATACTAAGGCTTTTAGAATTGTTTAGGTTTTTATTTCCTTTCCATGCTCATAACTGATGCCTTCCTGATAGCCTGATACAAAGCACAGGGTCTGATTGGCAGTTCAGAACTTAGTTATTGTAGTCTCAGCTTATTTACGCTGACAGATCTTGCTCTGATTTATCACTCCTGCTGCTGCAGTGCATTGTATAATGAAGCATGTTCAGCTGAACAATTCCAATTGATTTGGAGGACTTCCCTAATGAAATTGCTGGTTTTCACAGAGAAATACTTGGTTTTGTGACATCAGCTCCTTGACATCCATGCCATGTTTTAGTTTGTGCCTCAGCTGCTAGCTACAGCCTCTCAAGGGAGCCAGTACCACCCGTGCCTGGATACATGAGGCAGAGATGTGAAAGGGAGAGACGGGGGTAACCAGTCTTCCATTAAATATTTGCTCTTAATGTTGGAGCTGATCCTGCCTATTGTCCTTGGTATCTAATGGTATTCAAACTGAGGCATCCGTGAAATAAAGGGGGAAAATGTTTCATTTCATACCTACTACGTTGTAAAGCTTAAAGAATTACATGCTGAAGAAGCTAAAGAATAAAGCCCAGTGAGTAATGCATGCTTTTTCTATAGATTTTATCTATCATTGTGATTGCTGCTATGAATCGAGGCCATTGATGTAGTGTGTGTGTACGTGTGGTGCAGTAGATAATAGAACTCAGCATTCTGGTTATGATACAGTTGCTTTGCCAACCACCCTCCTTTGCAGCCATAGATTGTTACAAATGCAGAGATTCCTGCTGCCTCTCATGTGTAGGGATGTGGCTGAGAGACCTCTCAGAAATGCTGATAAAATTGCATTGAAAGGACTCTTGGGGGATGTATTTTAGGAGGAAAAGAGCAGAAGAGTGAGTGATGCTGCTGCTGCTGCTAATATTGGAAATTAAGGGAAGAAATGTATCCAAAAACCCCTGACGGTATGTGTGCAGGGCCTGTTTATTGTAAGATTGCTGATGTAAAGATTAACATTTTAGCAGCATCATTTTCCGGGGCCTTTTTGTTGAATTGTGTTTAGTGGATTGTTTGAGATAGATGTATGTTAATTCTGAAATACTTGTTTTGAATTAGTGTTTACTTAGTTTATTCTGACAGTACTAGGAACTGTGCTGGTACACTTCTTCATTTTTATATCAGAACAAATAGGTGTGTGTATTTAATATTAAAATTCATCTTGCATTTGGGTAGCTTGTGCTAAGAAATTTTATTGTTATTTTTGCTATCTCCTTCATTAAATAAAAAAATGAAGACTAGGAAACCTTTAATTTCACCAAGTGTTTTTAATGTATAAGTACTTATGGCATTAGTATGACTAATTTTTTTTTAGTCTAATATTTCTGGCTGATTTGCTGCCTTATTTTTTTGATAATGATTGCACTGTGATGTTAATGTCTCTTATACTCTTTGTTTATCTGTCCAGTGTTTCAGCATTAGGTGTTTGGGGCTTCCTTTTTCCCCAAGCCATCTTTCTTAAAAATTTCGTCATAGGGTTGAGTAAAGGTATCTTACTAGCCTAATTATTGTTGTGAGCAGTTTTACTCTAGGTATAGGTACTTGATTTTGCTTTATGTTCTGCCTGATTCTCTAAAAGAGCTCCAGAAGGCTTCTTGCTACAACAGTGTGGTCTGTAAATATTTTTCTAGCTCATAGGGCAGGTTCCCCCCCCCCCTTAATTTGTTACTGTATTGGCAGCAGTGATTAGGTTATTCAGAGCACGTGAACCAATTTCATCCCCCAATGAAGAAAGGAACTATTGCGACCATAGAGACTGTTCTGCAGACATAGATTGGATTGCACTGGATAATTAGACAATTTTGAAACTGGTAGTAACCCTCTCCTGGTTTCTAGTAATTGTAACTGACATACAGGGGAAATTGTTTTGTTTAAGATGTATTGTTGCTCAGGAATTGAAAATAGCTGTGTCATAATTTCTTAAGAGTACCCAAAATATCTTCTTCTGTCTTAACTGTGGATCGTGTTTCTTCACGCGTGGCATATTTGAAAAACAGACATACAGATTATGAGAGGGTGCAAGTTACTGAAGCCAAAATTGTAGCTAAAGGTCTGTTCTGTTTATAATTTTTTTTTTTTTTAATTCTGCAATAATGTCAACATTTTTCTTTGCTATGAAACAGTGAAGAATAAAGTGCTGGGCTTCCTTTTTGATAACTGAGGCATGAAATTACAAAGCAAGCATCTGGCTGTGGGGTTTGGTATCTG